CGGGAGTGGCGATGGGCCTGGGTGGCTGGAAGGACCAGCTGGAGTCCTCTCCAGGGGAGAGGGCCGCTTCCTCTGAGGCGCGCCTCCAAGGGCAGACACTCACTGCTGAATGGCGGCGCTCGGTGATCCCAATCCCACGTGTTGAGGTTAAAGCCGAGGAGATGTCTACAAAGCAGGTGTGAGTGTCTCTGGGTTGGAAGAGGGGCAAGTGAGACCCCCCCCACAGAGACCAAGGGACCTCCTGAGGGTTGTCGTGGCTGCTGCACAGCGGCCCAGAGCTCCCGCGCGCCCGGGGCCTCAGAGGAGGGCCAGGCTGAGGCGTCATAAGGGGGGCTGTCACCTGCAGTGTTCTCCCACCGGCGTGACCCTTCCGCACCACTTTCCCTCCCCCCCCCCCCACAGATGGGAGACACACGGCTGATGAAGCGTCTGCCGGCTTGTCCCTGAGTGGCTACAATAAGCAGACGTTCCCCTGATGTGCAGAGTACAGTGTGAGAAGGAAAGATTTTGGGGACAAATATTTGGGGGTTAAGTTACTAGGATTGTCACTGCTATAGCCGCAACCTGTTCTGACTGTCCTGTGACAGGTCGGGCTTCACATGGTCAGCCACTGGGAGAGACCACGTCCTCCTCTGTCCTTTTGTCCTCCTGACCCTTAGGGTTGTGCTGCCACTGGCAACCAGCGTCAGCAAATTGCCCCCCTTGACTGCGTCTTCTCCTTTCGTGTGCACCTGTGCAGACATCCCTTTGCCCTTTGCCGTCGGGGATCAGCTGTCCCAGCGGAGCAGGAAGGCACAGCCCTCCCGACCCGTTTTGGGCACCAAAGGACCACAGAGGAAGAGGCGCTGGGCCAGGCGGTTTCCCCCGGGGTGGAATGCGACTCACAAACCTCTCAGAACTTGAGCGCCCCCTCTTCCCCCACCCCTGCTCCCCCCACCCCCACCCGCCCCAGGAATTCTTGCTTTCTTTGTTTTGGGACAGCAAATGTTTGCCATGTTTTAAAATGCTGTTGCAAATGATTAGAATGGCTTGTGGAAAAGCATGAACTCATTTCCACTGTGCAGTTACTGGTTTCCTTCCCCGCGAAAATCATGGATTGAAATATCCCAGGGCATGGGAAGGCAGCGGTGAGCCATGGAAGCCAGAGGTTTCTGGGGCTCAGGGGTGTTCCCTCCCAGCCCAAAGGGCAGGAAACACAATGACCCGCAGTGTATTTGCCACTACATATTTGTTTATTTGTACTTTTGACTATTTACAAACCTTCATTTCAGCCTATCTTTCAGAAACATGGTTTCTGCGCGTGTCCTCTCGTGAAGTCCAGGCGGGTCAAGGTCTTTTCCATGCAGGAATGTACATGTAAGGAGGGTGGGGCGCCGGGTCGGTGGGGCCTCTGCTGCTCTGGATCCTTTTCTGGGTCAGCTGAGCCGGGCAGCAGCTCTCGCCTCCGTGCGTGGCCTCCTGCGCCTGGGCCCGGGAGCACCCAGGCGGCTGCTGCTACTCGTTTCCCCTGTGCTCAGCAGGGCGCTGCCGGCTGCCCTCTGCACCCGGCCCTGACCGCTGTCCTCCGCCGGGGCCGTCAGTGCTGCGGCCACCTGACCCTAGGGATGTTGTCCGGCTGGACGAGCCCACAGAGGCGACCCTGACCAATGGGGTTATTCACAAGGAAGTATATCAGGGAGACACAGGGACACCCTCCCCCCACCCCCGAAGCCCTAACATCAACAGTAGAGATTTTGTTTCGCTCACAGGACGCCAAATGACACGCACGAACACGCACTTTCAGCAGGACGACGCGGCCTCCTCGCGTCACAGCAGTACGCCGGAGCAGCTTAGCAAACACGCTCACTGGTGAACAGCTCAAAGGCTAGTTCTGGTGTGTACAGAGTAAGGAAACCTCACGAGGAACGGCCACAGACTCAGCAAAAGTCAAGCTGTACAACATGTGAAGAGTTGGCAGCCTTGCTGTCAACGAGGGGACACAGGTGTACGAATGCATTTGATGAGCTCCAGGAGCCCCGACAGAGCGTCCGCCACCTCTGCAAAGGCACCCCCAGTGGCAGGTGGAACGGGCAAGAACTTGCTAGGAAACGTGTCTCACATGTCAACAACAAAACAGCCCTTTGGGGCTGGGGAGTCCCTCCCGTGGTGGGGCAGGGCTGCCAGGGCTGCCAGGGCGTGCGGGCGGTGGAGCTGGGGCTGCTCCCTCCCAGGCACAGGAGACCTTTCCCTCCGCCAAGGTCCACAGGGTCTTTCACCACAGCACTCCCTGACTGACAGGCCCCACCGGATGCCCTTCTAGCCTTTCTTGGTGCGAGGTGCCCAGAGGAAAGGAGCAGGAAGGGAGCTGGAGGTGCGCCCGTGCGGCTGCGCCTCGTCAGGGGTGGGGCTCGACACAACACTGACCACAGACCACACACGGAACAGACAAGGGGAGATGGGGCGGCTTTCAGGCTAAAGATGATTAAGTCTATGGCGAGCTCACAAGCTGTAAGTTTCTGAAGAGGCGTCAGCGCCAGAGCTCCACCTCCTTCCATGCGGACCCTAACACCCTGTGGGCCGCGGGGGCTGGAGCCCTCATCGCCGCATCCCGGGCAAGACACTGCTCGAGGTCTGCTGTTGCAGCTCGCCACGCGCACCTGCAGGTGTTGTCACTGCCTGTCCACCCTCCTGTGTTCTGGAGTCCTCCTGCCTGACGTTTTTGTTGCCACTGTTCCAAATGGGCTGCTGACTCCCATCTCCTGGGGTCCAGCGCTTCTAGGGTCCCAGAAGCCCCAAACCTAATCAATCAAGTAATGTTTTGGCCCCACTCAGCAAGGTCTTCAATGGCTCGCCTCCCCTAACCCGGCTCTCTGTGAGGGGTGTCCAGATAGGAAGAGGTAATCTTGGGCATTCCAGTGACAGCTTTCTTGGCTTTAGATACCTTACAAAGTGTGTGTGTGTGTGTGTGTGTGTGTGTGTGTGTGTGTGAATACGAGGGTGAATGTGTGTGACTGCATGTCACCTACCTACCACCCCACCCCTGCCTTTCACTCGCAAACATGTCCTCCCGGGCCAAAGTCCAACGCTCGGTGTTCCCAGCTTCTCCCATGACTGAGACTTCCTACCTCAAGGCACTAAGCGGTCCCTCCTAAGGCTACATTCACTTCTGTGTTTTCAACTCACGAGACAGCACAGACGGGTGGAGGGAGAGGAGTGGACGGAGGGCGGGAGACGCTGCTCCCTGGAACAGGGAACTGGAAAGAAACAGTCATTTAACCAGCCTGGCCAAAGAGGGCCCCCCATGCGTGGGAGCAGGCCGAGGGGGTCCTGGTGGTGCTAGAAGGGCCACCGGCAGGGAACACACACGTGCTCAGTATTTGTCCTTTCACACCCACTCAAGTTGCATCGATAAATGCAGGGATGCACACACGTACTTCTGCACACGCGCACAGCATACATCTGTATGTGCACACACAAGCACAGACATCCACAAGTCACAATTGGACACAACTTTCACACACCCAGATGCATCCATACATGGTCATTTTACACTGTTACACACACCGATAAATATTTACACCAATATACACAGAGCTATACAGCTTCTCAAGTGGTGATATGCACATAACTACCCTGTTGCACACACACCAGAATGACAAGGAAACACAGACACAGGAGCACAGTGCACAAGGGGAGGCAGCTGAGGGGCTGCAGGGAGGTTGCTCAGGGGATAGAGGGTGATAGCAGAGGACTTGGCAAATCTGCTGTTACACGGGCTCTGTCAACCAGGAGGCCACTTGGCCAGTCGGAGCACAGGCGACTCTCTGCCTCCCTCAGGGGTCCCACCGGGTGGGCAGTGCCCAGGATCCACGTGCTCACTTTACGCCCATGGTGGGACACCAGCCTCTTCCTGCAGAGACGTCCCAGGTGCCGTCGAAGCAGGTCCAGGGCCTGGCATGTCGGCGGAACCTGGTGGAGCTTCCCCTCTTTGAGGGGCAGTGCGAGGGGAGGGCAGCAGGAAGAGCAAGTGGGGGCCCCACCTCTCACGGGCCCAATGTCCTCCAGCCTGGTACCTACTATGTGCTTTGCCTTCCCTGCTCCCAGGGCTCCTGGCAGGCGCTGACGAGGTGAAGGTGGTGAGCTCGTTGACAGTGACTGCGTACTCGACAAACAGAAAGGATTAGTATCGTCGCACAATAGTTATCCAGCTACTATTCTAGATAAGATGGTAAAATAGTCAGAACTTTCCCACGCGAGGTCCTCCTCCGCGGGCTCGCCTTATGACAAGGAGCAGCCGCCCCTGACGTAGACAGATGTGCTGAGCCCCTGCGGTCGAGCATTCCGAAGCGGAAATAGTGGCCAGGTCAGCTCAATCCCTCTGGGCACTCCATCTGGGCGACCTCCAATCCCACCTCATCCCCCCTGCTGGAACTGGGCGCCCCCATCCCACTCGGTACCCCCAGCACCACTCATGCTCCACTCCCCAGCCTGTGCCACACACAAGAGACAACAGAAGAGTGTGGGAAAGGCACTGTCTGTATCCCCAAGTCCCTAGCGCTGCCAGGCCACAGTCAGGCCTTCCCCTGCGCACCCTAGCTCAGCCCAGTTCGACTTTCTCCCATAAAATCCTAAGTTGGATCCCCATCAGGGGAAAAAACTAGAAGGAAAAAACAGGTGAAAAAAATGCCACACCTTAGCTGGGCAGAAAAGTCCCTGCAAACGTTTATGCTCTCGGATCCTTCCTCTGTCCTCTCTACATTTCTAAGGACTTTTCTGCTCTTGTTACCTGTTGGAAGGCTCTGCAAAGGTCATAATTTTGTGGCAGAAAGGGAAACTCGGTGTGCAGTTGACCTGCAACCCTTCCGTTCCAGCCCGGACACATCCTTTGCCACCATCCCACCCCGGGTGGACAGAGAGAAGGCACAACTGACTGGTCCGCCCAGTTCCCACCAAATCAAAGAAAACCTGGCCCCATGGAGCCAGGACGAGCCGAGCAGGGGCCCGGCCCGGCGTGCCACCCCCTAGTACAGGTGGTAGGCCCAGTAGGCGATGTTGAACACCAGAAAGGCAAGAGGGAAGAGGACGCGGGAGCACTTGTCGACCCTGGGGATGTACCTAGGGAGAAAGAGCTTGGCGGAGAAACTATCCTTGAAGGAGCACTTGGGGCTGGGGGGGCCGCTGTCGTCAGACTCGGAATTACTGCCCTTGTCGTCATCGAAGCCCAGGAAGTCCTCGGGAAGGCTGCAGGTGGCTTCGACCACGCGCTCGAACTCCTTCTCCAGGTCGCTGTAGCCGCTCTCCATTCTGACGTCGTCGGGCAGGCCGCGCATATCTTCCAGGCTGGCGCGGATCTCCTCCAGGTCGAGGCTGGGCCTGCGCGCGCGCCTCTGGCCAGACGTGAGCGGATGCCTTGCTCTGGGGCCGCGGGCCTCCTCTAAGCCAGACTCCTCTGGCTCGCAGGTCTCGGCGTGGCTGTGGGCCTCGGAACGGTTGAGGATTTCGGCAGGAACGATGGCGTCGTCATTCTCGACTGCCCTGGTGCGAAGGCTGTGGCTGGGCAGGGCCTGCTCGGAAGCGGAAGGGAGCTTGCTCAGGCTGCCTTCAGTGGCCAGCCAGGACTGGTCTGAGAGAGAGGACAGTGAGCTGAGGCTTTCAGCGGTGGCCAGTGGGGCCTGCTTCAGGATGGACTCCAAAGAGCGGAGGCTTTCTGGGCTGGCCAGGCCGGTCTCCGCAGGTCTGAAGGGAGAAGAGTCATTGTCATCTTCGATGCTGACCTCGTCCCTCAAGGAGACGATGGACAGCTTCATGACGTCAGCCTGGTCATACCTTGAGTGAACAATCACTTCTGGGGAGCGCGGGGGGCGGGGGCTGTCCTCCAGCGCAAGGACATGGCTGCCGGCCTCCCGCACGCACATCTCTATCTCCTCCTCCTCCTGCTGCGGGCATCTCTGGCGTGCCAGGGGCTGAGAATAGGACCAAGATGCTGTGAACACGCGGGGAGTGCGCGGGGGCTGCCAAGTCTGCCTCCCGGGGCCGCCGTGTCTGCAGTGCCCCACGAGGGACACAGGCAAGGCCTCCCGTGGCAGGCGGGGCTGGGCGCTGCTCGCTAATGCACTGCCAGCGTGGTGCGGAGCTGGAAGAGCAAAGGAACGAGGGGGCCGCCAGTGTTCTCCTTTCAGCCTCCTTCTCTCCCCCGCCCCCCGGCTCCGTCGCCTGCCCCCGAAAGGGTCATCTGGAGTGTGTGTGTGTGTGTGTGTGTGTGTGTGTGTGTCGAGGATTAAAGGAAATGGCAAGTGGGAAAGGATGCAGTGCTCGGTTTAGGCTCGGGGTCACTGGGGGCCAGTGGCGTGAGCCAAGCCAACCTGCGCCACGGCTTCCTGGTAGCGGTAGCGGGCCATGACTCTGCGCGCGCGCCTTTGGCGCCTGTACTGGCGGTGGCTCTCTCTCAGGCTGTAGAAGAGATAGTTGATGTAGACATACTCCAGCAAGGACAGGAACACGAAGAAGAAGCAGACGACCATGTAGATGTCGATGGCCTTGATACAGCAGACTTGAGGGAGCTTACTCCGCAGATGAGAGTTGATCGCGTTCAGGATGAGCATTGAAGTCAGGCCTGTAGACGACATGGCACAGGGTAAGCCTCCCCCAGCGGCTGAACTTGGCAAGTCATCAGGCCTGTGTCCCACTGGAAAGCCCTCAGCCAAAGGCCTGCACTGCAGCGCTCTCTTTACGCTCCCTCCCCCAGCAACTTCCTGTGGCTCTTGGGATCACATCTGAAACGACCTCCTGCTCCTCGGATGATCTCTCAGCAGCTGATATGCCCCGCCCCGCTCGGCCTTCTCCAGCATAGGCGTTCCGTAGCGCTCGATGCCATCACATCCCTCGAAAGGTTTGGGGAGCCCTAAAACACTACGCAAAGTAAAGCTCCAGTCCATCACGCACTGCTGAGAGGGCTGCTGGATCAGCCCTAAAGATGAGGAAGGAGAAGCCAGGCCTGGAAGTGGGACACCCTGGCATTCCCCAGGGTGGGGATGGATGGCCAGGGAGCTGGTCTCTATGCCCCTCTCTGGAGCTGGTCAAAAACCTCCTACACTGCACGAAGCTCCTCTGTGTGCTCACACCTTGCCCAGGTACCCCTCCCAGACCCTAGGCCTTTCTTCTGAGTAAGATGACCAAGTTCTTCCCTGGGACGGGCCCAAGCCTACCAATCGTCACCCTGGCTGCAGAGGATTCGTAGTTCATCCAAAACGCTATCCAAGAGGCGATGGTGGTGAGCACGGTGGGCCAGTAGATCTGCAGGAGGAAGCTGGTGATCTCCCTCCGGACCAGGAACTTCAGGATCAGGCGCATGTAAGAACCTGGCAAGGAGGCAAATGGGCATCAGGCTGGCAGGGCTGAGGGACCTTCCAGAGGGACACGTACAGGACACAGGAGGGGAGGTTTGGGCAGTTGAGTGTCTAACACTCCAGCTGTGGCCTTTGCGGCCCTGACCCCATCTGCTTGCCCGAACGCCGTGAGCACGCGGCAGCCGCCCGCGCGCGGGGCAGGTCTTCTCTCCCGCCGCCCTTCCTCACGTGCGCGTGCTCGCCAACAACAGCTGTCGCAGGGAGCGACGTGCCATACTGCACAGCTGGAAGCAGGTGGAGGCTGAGAGCCCTGGCCAGGTGCTGCCACGCCCGTGTCCTCCGGCCGAGGACCACCCCTGGCCTTGACCCGGGGGCAGGAAAGGTGTCCAGACCAGCAGGGACAGGGAAGGGGACAGCAGAGTGCAGAGGTCAAGGGCGGAGGTCGGCAGGAGGGGAGCGGGGAAGAAGAGACAGAGCCAGCGGATGCGGGGCCGCTCGCACCTGTGTAGAACAGCACCTCCTTGTTCATCATCGACTTCCCCAGGAAGCTGAACTGCGGGATGCGCAGCCGCTCGGTGCCCCGGATGGCTTTGCCGTTGCCCTCCCAGTAGAGTATGATGTCGTCGAGCGTGTAGCCGTCTGCAAGGGGACAGAGACAGCAGTTTCCAGATTGTGAGCCAGAGCAGTGTGTGGACACCAAAGGATGGGGGTGGCCTGAGTCTGGGGAGGGGGCGCCTTCCTGTGTAGCTGTGTCTGAGCAAGGGTGAGAAGACCGGTCACTGCGGGCTTTCCCCGGGCGGAGGGAAGCACAGCGAGGGGCGCTCCTGCCTACCAGCTCACGCACAAGCCCCCAGCCCCCAGCCACCTTCTCTGGACGTCTATGGAGGACAGAGAAGCGGGGAGGAAGCACACAGGGCAGCTCAGCCTTCCCTCTCACTGTCAAGTCTGCTGGGTTCCCGGTGCCCCCACCACAGGCAGGGCGGGCCCCCGGAGACAGCTGAGTCACGTACAGCTTTCCACCTCCAGCTTGCAGGTCTGCGTGTCCAGGGGGAATTTCTGCAGGTCCAGGGCGCAAGCGGCTGTGGTGGTGAGTCTGCGAAGAAGGAGGAAAAGGAAGGGAAGGGCACGTGAAACCTGTGCCCATGGAACTGCCACGGGGGCCAGGGGAGACTCCCCAGGGGCTCCCAGCTAGCACCGCCTGCTGCCCAAGCTGCAGCTGGACCCTCCCTCCGGCTAGTCCTGTCCTCCTTCTCTTCCCTTCCTGCTCCCCTCCTCCCCGACTCCTCCCTTCTAGAGGACAGGTGAGTTGCCTTGTGTAGAAAGAAGGGGGCACTTGTATGTGACAAAGAAACCACGAGAGCTGGCAGGATTTAAGCCAGAGAGATCTGGAAAGCACTGGGCTTCTCTGTGTGCCCCTTACAGTGCCTTTACGGGCCACTGAGTGGGGAGCAGGAGGCCTGCTGGGTGGGCCCCAGGCTCCCGGGGCAGGGCACTTGCCGGATGCCGTAGCGGACCGTTCCGTCCGGGTGAAGCTGGAACACGCGGTTCTCCACGGTGGAGTCGTGCACGTAGGCGTCCTTGCTGTTCAGAAAGTAGCAGTCCGGGACCCACAACTTCTCAAACATTCGATAGTCCAGGGTCAGGTTCAGGTTGGTCTCATAGTAGGCTAAACGTGGATCTTTCCAGGTCTGATGGAAAAACATTGTGATTGTGTAGTCCTGGGGAGAGAAAAGGTGGAGGCCAGACGTCAGGGAGGTGGTCCAGGGCCCGTGTGCTGAGAGTGTGTGTGCACAAGGGCTTGCAGAATAAATCTGAGAGCTAGGGCAGTAATGACACGCACGAAAGAATGGTCACGTTAAGAATAATACGATGCACCTCATGGAATTAAAATCTAGGCTAAGAAACAGAACCCGACCCATAGCCTTCAAGCTGTCAGGTGGCCCTTCCACAATATATCCCCCACGCCTCTCAGAAGGAAGCACTGCGTTCGATTTTCATGATAATAACTCCCTTGTTGCTGTTTTTTTAATTTACAAATGTATTTCTAGAAAACTTACTGCTTAGTAGGCCCTATATTTTTAAATCTTTTCCGCCCCCAAATAATCATAGTGTGATTGTAGTGGCTTCTCTCACTCAGCATTACGCCCCGGCGGCTGCAGTCGTGGCGTGGCAGCCCTAGCTACGCGCCGGGTGTGTCATCGTGACATCCCCTTCACACAAAATCATGGTGAGACTAAAACCAAGATTCGAAGATCCCAGCTCACGCCCCTGCCCAGAGCCCAGAGCGGGTGAGCGGCCCCAGGCCTCCCCCTCCCCACCCCCCCAAGCCTGTCTGCCCTGACTGCCAGCCCCGCAGGCTGCTGAGCACAGGCTGGGTGCCCTGTGCTCTCACTTTGCATTTTGTCGTTCCATGTTTCTCTGCTCCTTGATTTTCTTCACAAAAATGAAGTTCCTGTTCAAATCTTCTCATCCTTTTTTATTGTTTTAAAAATATTTTTCTTAATTCACAGGAATTATGTATGTTTTCAATGCCAGCCCTTTGTGCTGCAAATATCTTACTCCACTGGGGGTTTTGTTTTGCAAAACAGGAGTCCCAGAAGGTTTGACTTACAGAATTTTAAGATAGTTTAAATAAGTCACCTGCATTTATTTTATGATTCGCGTCTTTTTAAAGAAATCCTTCCCCATGCAAAGCCTCCAAGCCCTAGCGCTTCTCCGCAGGGCTCTGCGGCGGGTTAGAACCCTGCCCCTTGCCCCGCCCCGCCCCGACCCGGCGGCCACACTCACCATGGTCACCTCCGAGATCTTCTCGATGCTGGAGACATACATGGAGATCCCCACGGGCAGGGGGGCACCTGCAACACAGGGCGACGCTTTCACGTCCGGGCTAGGCCGCAGGTGGCTTCCGGAGCCAGACTGCCTGGTGTGGACCCCATTTGGACGGTGACTGTGTGGCCTCGCGGAACCTACCTCCGCTTCCTGACCGAGTGGAGTCGGCGCGCGCACCGCAGGGGGGGACGAAGCAGGAGGCAGTGGACCTTTCCAGAGAGTCCCGTGACTCCAATGGAAGCGCAACGAGCCCAAGGGTGGAAGAGAAGCTCTGCCGTGTGTATGCAGATGTGTGCGGCCAAATGGCGGCAGTGCACACGTGTGTACAGGAGCATGTTCACATGTAGGAGTCAATAGTGTTTACTTGTGGGTGAATGTGTCAGTGTATGTGTTGGTGCATGTGAGCATGTCTGTAGGTGAGCAACTCTGCGTGACTGTGCCGTATGGAGTAAATGCTTGAGTGTGACTGAAGGCATGTTGCCCCGGGGAGTGAGTGTGTGACTATGTGAGTGCATGCGAGCCTACCAGCATGCCAGCAACGACAAACCTGGGCACTTGTGCCTTTACGTGTGAGCATGTGTGTAGGTGAGCATGTTTAGCTGGGATTTGTGTGCTCACACCTGAATGTGTGCATGAGCGTGCACACGTGCTCGTGTACACTGCATGTGGGTGAATGTGAGCACGTAGAAGTGAGCATGTGTGTTGGCGAGCCCATCTGCAAGTGGGTTTGTGAGTGTGTCTTTATAAGTAAATACGTTCCTCTGTGTTTTCGCTCCTGTGAGCATGCTTGTAAGTGTCTCCGTGTGTGCACAGGAGTGGAAGTGAGCATGTGTGTGCATTCATATTTAAATGTTAACTGTTGAAATGTTTTTGCGGGAGTGAATGTGTAAGTATGTCTGCACATATGGGTGTGTCAACATGGAAGTGTGAGTGCATGCACGTGTTCATGTGTGCCAGTGAATGTGTGATCACACTTCTGTGAATGTGTGCATGTACTGGAGCGTATTGTGTGGGAGTGACTCTGTGGGCCATCTGTGTGCACCTATTAATGTGTCAGTGCATTTGTGAGCATGCATGTCTGTGAATCAATGGCTGATCATCCTTGTGTGTGTAAAGTTGTGTTTACATGAGTATGTCTGTGTTAAGTGAATGTTTCTGTGTTCATGTTCATGAGGTGTGTGAGTCCGTGTGCAAACATGTGAATGTGCATGACAGAATATGTAAGTGTGAGCCTGTCAGTGCAGGAGTCAACTTCCTTGCATGTGAATCAATGTGTGTGTGTAAGAGTGAACATCAAGAATGTAAGCAAACCTGAGCTTGTGGCTGTGTGTGTGTGTGCACGCATGTGAGCATGTGCACTTGTGAACATGTTTGTGCCTGTGGCCTTCTCATGTGTAAGGAATGACAGTGATAAGGGGTCAGACTTATACTCTCACACTTATCATTAGTAACAAACCTGTCACTTGTAATTGTATGTAAGCATGTGCGTGTGTCTGAGTGAGCACATGGCCGTGACCACGTATGACTAATTGAATGTGTGTCTGTGTGCGACTGAATGTGAACATGTCTGTGGGTGAGTGGGTGTGAGTGTGTGAGTGCACTGTGCAAGTGCATGTGTGACCATGTTGATGTGCTAGTTTTGCCATGAGCATGTGGTACGTCAGGGTGTCATTGTGCAGAGGTGAGTCAGTGTGAGTGTGGCGATGGGTCTTTGTGCATGTGAAAGTCAATGTGTGTTAATGAGTGACTATGTTCATTGGTGAACATGTTGGTGTGAGTTGGTAAATATGCAGAAATGTTCATGCAGATGAGTACATGAGTGCACCTGTGAACACAACATACTATTTGTGCAAACATGTTAACTTGCACGTGTGAGCATGTACATGCCAGCACACACATCAGTGTGAGTGAATGTGAGTTACTTGTGTGTGAACGGATGCCTGAGCACACTCATGCGTGCATTTGTATATGTTCATGTGTATGAGCAGGTGTGAATGTGGATCTATATACGTGAGTAAATTTGTGTTTGCAAATGTGAACATTTTTTGTGCAAGTAAGTGAATGTGTCAGCACGTGTGTTTGAGCATATGTGGGATGTGAATAAATATGTGAGGGTGTGTGAGTGTGTTTGTGTGTGATATGTGAGCATGTGTGTGTGTATGTGACTATGTACGTGCATAGGTGTGGAGGTGGAGTGTGTGAGTGTGCTCGTGTCAGTGTGTGCACGAGGGTGTGTGCACGTGGGCTGCGAGCGACTCTTGCGGGTCCTGGCGTCGGCGCGGCGCGGCCGAGCCCGAGGAAGAGGAGACCAAGGGAGGCGTGAGGGCGCCCCCGTGGCGGGGGGCTGGGTGGGCCAAGTCCTCGGGGACCTGCCGTGGGCGGCACGGGTCGGGTCCCGTTTCTCTGGCGGCAAAGGGGCATCTTGGCTCAATGCCCCCGCTCCTCCTGCTCCTTCTCCCCCGCGCCCTGCTCTGGGCAAGGAAGTCAGGAGGCTCCCTTGGGCACCCCGTCGCAGCGGGGCAGGGGCCTGCGGGCATGTACGCCTCCGCTTCAGCACCCACAGACCCGGGACTGTGACTCTGTCTAGCGGGGGACTTCCTGGGAGTCCTGGGTGCCCCCCCCCAGCGTCTCCTGGCTAAAGCTCGGGGTCTTGAGTCGCGCTTCCCTGCCGAGTCCATCTGCTGTCCCTCCAAATCGGGGCATCTCTCCCGAGGCCCTGGTCCGCATGCCTGGCTTAAGGACCCCCCCCCCAACCTAGGCATAGGGTGGAAACAAATCCAAGTTAGCTGGGAGCCTGCTGGGGAGGTGCCCTGGGGGCCAGTCGCCCCTGACAATGCCCAGAGAGCTGCGGGTGCTCTAGGACCGCCCCCACCCCGCGCCCCGTGGCTCTGCAAAGGGGAGGCTGCGTTTGTTCCACTTAAAATGGCTGTTGGTCACTTTCTGCCGAGAAGCCTGAGGATGAGGCAAGGTGCCCCTTGCCAACAGTGCTTGGCACAAAGGATCCAAAATGCAGCATCAGGCGGTGGGGTGCTGGCTGGGGTGCTGGCTGCGCCCTAACGCTGAATTCCCCCAGCTGCCGTGCTGGCCACAGCTTCCCAGCCCCAGGCACGCCCCCTCGCATCCTGGCTGCTCCTTCAGCCCTGACGCTCTGGGTGGGAGCAACGCAGCAGCAAAGGGCACTGACCAAGTGCCCGCCTCCGAAGTTTGAGCCCAGGGTGGTCACCTTGGTTTTCAAGGTGGCTCCCTGGGTGCAGCACAGCGCCTGCTAGGGGTGTCTTCCCCCACCACCCCCACCCCAGCCCTCGCCTTGGGCGGTTCCGGGAGCGCAGACCTCTAGCCCCAGCGCCAGTTAAGCCTTTCAGGGCTACTGCTGCCCCCTGCAGAGGGCGCTGGCTGACTGAGCCAGCCTCACCGCTAAGCTGGTCCCCATTTCCCTCGGGGTGGGGGTGGGGGGAGCAGCCCTCTCGGGTACCTCCTGCTATCTGTCCGTGCTCCAGGTTTTCTGGGTGTCCCTGGCCCAAGAGTGCTACTGTTCAGTGCGGTCAGGGGACTGTCCTGTCCGTGGCCCAGGCCAGCCACTCTTCCCCACAGAGGGGAGGCAGAAATTTCAGGGGAAACCGGTGTGGGCCACCTGGAGGTCTTTGCTGCCGTGTCCAGTCATTTCTCATCTCTGGGCTTGAGACTGGAGAGCGAGTCCCGGGGTGGCTTTTACGTGGCAGCTGAATCAAGCCTTCAGAAGGGGACCCCTGGGCTCATCAGGTCAGCTGACTGCAGCAGCCTGAAGGGCCTGAACTAGGTGGGAGGTGGAGGCTTGGGGAGCAGGGCAGAGGGGGAGAGTGCCTGGGGCCACGTGGGTGAGGCGAATTAGGCAGAGCAGGCCCTGCTCTTGGTTTGGACCCTGCCATGGACACACTGTGCTCTGAAGTGGGGGACATGCGCCCCCACAGATGGGGCAGGAACTTGAACGGTGCATTTGGTCTTCGACACCCATTTCTGTAATTTAGCGCCCCTGTGGCTACCCCAGGGCGAGTGCTTCAGGGGTGTGTGTGTATGCGCGCGCGAGCACGTGCACAAGGTCTGTGGCATAAGAGGGCAGAGAGTGAGAGAGAAATGCCAGGGGCAGAGCAAAAGGTCTGGGGAGTGGGAGGCTGGGAGTGCGCCCTTGCTGGAGTCTGCAGGGTCAGGAAGTGGGTGTGGAAGGGGCTGGCCCGTGGCTCCTGGGGGTGGGGGCATCACTGTTCAGCTCCCTGGGCGGGGTCGGCGCACAAAGCCTCTGGTGTCTGCGGGTCTTACCTCCAAAATTAGGTCTCAGACGGATGTCATATTTCGACAGTACCCTGTCCAAAATCTTGTGAACCACAGTTTGATTGGCACAATTTTTGCTGAAACAGAGAAGCCATGGGTAAATGCTGGTCGTCAGTACATGCCATGTCGCTTCTTGGAGGAGAAATAACAAAGAACACCGCAGGCGTCAACTCGCCAGGCCGTCCCTGCTCCTGCACACAGGCAGACATGCACAGTCATACGTGTCTCCGTCTCTCCCTGCCCTCCCTCCCCGCGGTGAGTCAGCCAGAAGGGCCGCAGTGACGCACATTCCTTTTCCCCTCCCCGCTGCTTTGATCCAGGGTGTGGGGCACAAAGATTGGATCCTAGTTACTAGGCAGGATGGGGGGGCAAAGGAAGGCGTGGGCAGGTAGCAGAGTCCCCAGATAAATAAATGGCTGATTTCAACCCCATGAAGAGCCCCCCTCTTGGCACCTGTGGGCCTTACAGGTTGCGGGGTGTCTTCCCTTTGGGGTGCCTGAGTCCCAGGGGAGGCCACTCTCTAGCCCCCTTGCCCTCAGGCGCCCAGCAAGGCTCCCGTGTCTCCAGCTCCTCAGCGCTCCCTCCTGGGCTGGGACTGGGCACTTTGTTGTCACGTCTGTGTGAGCCTTGCTTTCGCACCCGGCTGTTTTACAGACTCGGCATATGGCTTGTGACGCAGACAGAAAGGCTGTGCACACAGCGGAGGTTTATGACCCTCGCCCAAACAAAGTCATTTCAGGTTCTTGGGGGGAAGGTCTGTCTTCCCAAACACACAAACGCACATGTGCCCGAGCAGCACCTGTCTGGCGAAGCGTGTGCTTCCAGCCTGGAGGTGTCTTGAGTCAAGGCAAGTGGACCCAGCTCAGTTCTGCCGAGAGCTGCTCTTTCCAGAAGTCTCTCATGTGCACACGCCATTCACGTCAGCAATGTGTAGCGGGGCTTTCCCCCTCAAAATGGGAGCTTGGGAGGGAGCCAAGCCGTGGCATGGCCGTGATGCTGAGGGTCTTTCACGCACTGCCCAAAGCCTGTCAGCCCCTGCAAGTGCGTGAGCGTGCGTGTGCGTGTGTGTTCACTGGGGCGGCCTGACATGTCGGGTTGAGGCCATTTCTGGACCCTCGCCCATCATCCCCCCTTTCCCCTGAATATCTGTTCATTGCTGGGTCGCCCTTTACAAACATCATTCCCAGTTATGTTTCACGACGAGATCTCACCACCCCGCATTCCGAAGTGTGAACACAAAGTATTCCCGAGCGAAAGGCACGTATTCCCGCGCGTGTGCGACCACACATCGTCCATCTGACCGCGCCCGGGCTCGGGGCGCCATCAACGCACATTTCTGCGTGACCCGCGCAGCGGCCGCCTGGGGGCTCAGCGTCTCCAGATGCGGCGACCCCAGAAACCAAAGGCGGAGCCCGCGGGACCGCCCAGAGTCTCCCCGGGCCGGCACTGCGCGCACCCACGGCGCGCACCCACCGCGAGCCGCGCCGCACCGCCCGCTCCCGGGGCCGCTGGGCCCGCGCCCTCTCTGCGGCAGCGCCCGAGCCGCTCACCTCGCAGCACACACGCGCGTGAACACACACGCAGGCGCCGCAGGGACGGGCGCGAGCTGCACTCAAACAGGTGTCTCCACCGTCCGGCTCGGGGATGCCCATCGCCCGAGGCTCCCGCCCGAGCCCACAGGTGCCCGGGGGGCCGTCCCGGGGGAGCTGCCCGCGCCTCCGTCCCGGGGAGGCGGCGGACCCCGGGCTGCGGCTGGGCTCGGGCGCACGCGGGCGCCCGCAGGCTCCGCAGTAACAGGTGCGCCGAGGCGCGCGCTCCCTCCCCGCGCCGTCCGCACCCGCGCCGCCACCTCCCCGCGCCCCGGCCGGCCGGGCCCCGAGTCCCCGCACCCGCCCGCTCCGTCCACGCGGCCCTTACCAGTGGAAGAGGTTCAGGACGACTTCGGGCACGCGGGACGCGAGCCCCAGGTGGAAGTGGTGGGAGGGCGGGGGGTCGTCGCCCTCGGCCAGCCAGGTCCTGATGAGCAGCAGGAACACCGCGGCTCGCAGCATCCCTCGGGCGCCCATGGCCACGGCGCCGGGGCGAGGGCGCGGGAGCAGGGCGCTGCGGCGGGCGGCAGGGACGGGGTCGCGGCGAGTCGCCGCCGAGGGGAGCGCGGTCGGGACGCCGGGGTACGGGGCGCGGGGAGCGCGGAGATCGGAGCGGCGCGCAGAGCCGGGAAGCCGCCGTCCCCAGTAGCGCAGCCTGACCCGGCGCCTCCGCTCGCGCGGCCGCCGCGAGGTGCGCTCCGTCTGCGGCCGCTCCCGGGGGCGACTGGGCAGCGAGCGGGGCGCGCGGCCGGCTCCGCCCACTCCGACGGCAGCGGCGGCCGGACCAATCCGGCAGGTGCCAGGAGCCGCACAAAAAGGGGCGCGCGCGGGCCCGCGCCCGCGCCCGCCCCCGGCCCCCGCCCCCTCTGGCCTCCGGGGCGCTTCCCGACGCGGACACGCGCGGACGGCGGGCGGGGCCGCTGCGGGCAACAGCGGAGCCGGTGGGTCCAGCGCCCCGCTCTGCGGAAATGCAAAAATGTGTTTCGCCCGGAGCCCGGAGCCGTGCGCCCCAGAGTTTGTTCTGTGTTTGCTCGCTCCTTCCCGTGTGTGCTGAAGGGGGTGTGGGGATCGGACACCCCTGGCTGAATCTGCCTTCTGAAACATCTGGACACATGTGGGGATCCTTCCCAAACCCTTCACCCTCCAGTCACCCCCAGTGCCCAGCCTCGGGACGGAGTGGCAGTGGTGCGGGATCGCCAGTGGGTTTCATATCAGAGCTCAGGCAGTAGCGGGGGTGTCTCTCCCTGAGGACGGGGGTTGGATTCCAGGAGCCCCAGAGGTGTGTAAACATACGCCTTTCCTAGAGAGCTCTTGGCCCAAGTCTGGGTCCCCAGGACCCAGCTCACGAACCTACAAGGGTTCCCCAACTGCGGTCACACTGAGCTCCCAGGCAGGCAGCCCTGGAGGGTTCTGGACTGGCCGCGGGAAGGAAGGGAATCAGTGGACTGGCCACCGAGCAGCCATGGCCGCGGCCCCGCCAGGCGGAGACGACCTCCTCCTTTCCTCTACCCCAGCAGAGCTGTCCGGGACAGAAAGATCTCAGAGGATCAGGAAATCGCTCTGCTCCGTCCCCCAGCTCTCCCCCGCTCGGCTCCACGACTGGCAAGTTGAGAGCGGGGTCTCGCAGAGCTCCGAGGCCAGGAGGGCGGTCGGCAGCGCCCGGTCCCATTCGGCAGGCGCGGGCCCCTCCAGACGGGCGGTGGCGAAAGGGCTGCGGTGCAAGGGCCTTTCCTCTCGCGCTCGGTGAACGCCGCAGTCCCGGGAAAGCCAGCGCGCTCCCTCCCCCTCTGTGTTCCGGGGAATCCTTCCGAGCTCAGGCTTTAGCTGCCCGGTGGACCGAGCGCTTCCCGCAGCGGAGGACACAGTATTCCATCCCTGCCTTTTCACTCATTTTAGGCCAAACTTTTGAAAAATTGTGTCTCAGCTGCCCGGCTTCTTTTCACCTGCCCTCACCTTCCTTCCCCCGCCCCCTCCCGCCCGGCTCTGTGGCAGATGCTCTTGTTCCCACGTGGGTGCAGAAATAAACCCGGGTGGAGGACCCCTAGGCCCCTGACCCCGGCAGCGCGGCCGGTCCAGCCCACCCTCTTGCCGCTAGCTCTGCCTCCGTCGTCCGTGGTGGCCAGGGCGTCCCCGCAGAGACAATCCTTGCTGAATGAACCCGTGAGGGTCATTTCCAGGCCATGCTGTCCAACCACTGGGCTTGGAATATGGGGAAACTGAGGATGCAGACGAGGAAACTGGATTGGCCCAAGGTCACATAACACTACCAGCCCGGTCTGGAATCCTCTTTCAGATTTGCCTGCTTCCAGAACCGCAGGCGTCTGGGTGTCATTCATCTTCTGAAGTTCAGGCAACGGCCAGCAGGTGGCAGTAGGTTTATTGAGATGGCGGGTGCTGGGTGCTGGGTGCTGGGAGCTCCGCACGCCACTGGCGGGAGTCGGGCCCTCGTTTTCCAGGGAAAACAAGCCTGAAGCTGGGAGTTTTATTCCTCCGTGCTGCTGCTGAATTCATAGCCAGGTCTTACGTCCCTTGGGCCCCCCTCCTGCTTCTGCTTCCCCTACAGGTAATGCTTGGTCAAACTCACAAGCCAAATATCCCCCAAAGGAACGAGAACTACAAGCATGCCCCTACTTGAGCCTTCCTGGGCCGTTGTCTAGATCATTTACTCCAACATCCCGAACCACCCCGATTGAGTGGACTCAACCCGCGTAGCCAGCCATGGTGTCGGGGAGAGCGCAGATCCGCTGTGCTCTGAAGCCAGGCAGGGCACAGGACACTGAGGCTCCGCTTCGCGGCAAGTGCAGGGCAAATCTGCAGTGAGCAAAGACTAACAGGAGTAAGACACCAGGCAGAACCCAAGACCCTAACCTCAACAGCCGTACACACGGAGCGCACGACAAGGAAAAGAGGCAGGGACAAGAGCGGTGGGCCCCAACGTCCAAACCAAGGAATCTGGCGTCTGTCTCCTTTAGTCAATGGAAGCTTCAAAAGGTTTGTGCAAGGAATGAGTCACCTGGAGCAGTGTCTTGGATGCATTCCTGGTTCTGTTGCAAGGCAGGGCCTAGGAGGAAGAGAGCAAGGATAATGAGCGCTGCTCCAACGGTGCCACGTTCCTTTGCTGGCAACGACCCCCTGGGTGGCCTGGACTGTGTGTCCCAGCAGGGACGACTTATTAAACTGGATGAAGCAGAGGCAGAGGTTATCTTCATGAAGAGCTAAAAGCAGCGAGGCTCATCTACAGATTCAATTGAACCCCCATCAAACTTCCAGTGGCATTTTTCTCACAGAAATAGAAAAAAAAAATGCTCACAAAATCCCTAGGGAAACACGAAAGACACCAAATAGCAAAAACAATCCTGAGAAGGAAGAACAAGGCCGGAGGCATCACACTTCCTGATTTCAAACTATGTTGTCAAGCTGTAATCATTGTAACAGTGTAATAGTGGCATAAAAATAGACAATATAGACCAAGGGAGCAGAATTGAGAGCCCAGAAGAAACCACCCCCCTCATATGGCCAGCTCTTTGATGAGGGTGCCCCAAAGACTCAGCAGGAGGAGAGTCTCTCAGCCACGGCTGCTGTGAGAACAGGGTGACCAGTGCGGAAATGGAATTACACGCCACCTTACACTGCTCACAAAAATTAACTTAAAATTGATTAAAGACTTACGTGGAAGCTCTGAAACTGTAAAAACACTAGAAGAAAGCATGGGGGAAAGCTACTTGACACTGAGTTTGGCAATGATTTTTTGGATATGACACCAGCATTGTAAGCAACAAACGCAAAAATCATTAAGTGGTTTACATCAAAATAAAATGCATCTGCACAGCAAAGAAAAAATAGTAATAAATAAAAGACAGATCAATAGCAACCCATGGAATGGGAGAAAATATTCGCAAACCGCATATCCAAAATATATAAAAAACTAACACAACCCAGTAGCAGAAAAAATAAACGCAACCAGATTACAATATGGCCAGAGGAAGTGAATAGGTGTTTCCCAAAAGAGAACACACAAAGGGCCAGCAGGCACCCAGATAGGTGCTCGACATAGCTCCCTGTCAAGGAATTAAAATATCACAATGAGATAACACCTACACCTCTGAGAATGGCGCCTCTAGGCAAGGCAAGAGACAAGAAGCGTTGGCGCAGGACCCTGTGCCGTGGGGAGTATGGTGGAGCAGCGACGGTGGGAAACAGTGTGGAGGCTCCTCAAAAAATAAAGGCAAAGCCACCATATGATTCAGTCATCCCGCTCTTGGGTATTTATGTAAAGGGAATGAAATTAGAATCTCAAAGAGATGTCTGTACCTCGTGTTCATTGCAGTGTTAGTCACAGCAGGCAAGACAGGGATGCAGCCTGCGTGCAGATCAATGGTCGGAGGATTATTTGACCCTAAAAAAGGAGAGCCTGTCTTTTGTGACAACATGGATGGATATGAGGGCATTATGCTAAGTGACATAGGTCAGGCAGAGGAAGACAATACCATATGTGCGATCTAAGGAAGGGAGCTCAAAGACATAGAGAGTAGAATGGTGGTAGGACAATAGGGGGCGGTTGGTCACAGGGTAGAAACTGCCAGTTCTAAGAGGACTAAGTTCCGGGGGGGGGGGTGTCCCTGCAGCATGGGGGCTATAATCAGCAATAATGTACCGTCTACCTGGAAGGAGAGTAGATCTGAAAAGTGAAGCCTCACACGAAGAAGGTGAAGTGAGGTGAAGATGTTATTCACCCTCATTGTGGCGCTCATCTCTCACTATGCACACACTTACACACGCTCTGTCAATAGTAGCTCAGTGAAACTGTAAAAGGAAATAGGGTAAAATCTGGACACACACAAGGGCCTGGCGAGGGAAGTCTGACATCGGAAGCCCCTTCCCTCCCTTGGACCCGTGATGAATCTGAAGAGACTTGTAACACTGAGCTCTGGTTTCGGTGCCCTTCTGAGCAAAGGAGACAAAAGTTGAAGCCAGACATCACCAGCCCTGGGTGGACCTGCAGCCCGGACACCTGGGGGGAGCCAGGGAACTGAAGCGCTGAGGTTGGACCCTTGTGACGGGACCGGCAGTATCCCAGGCGCTTGTCAGAGCAAATGAAATATTCTCAAAAGGAAGGTACTTCCATGCTAGGCCCAAAATCATTCTTACAATAATTTTTCAATAATATATCAGCACATAGTGAAAAATAACTAGGCATACAAGGAAAAAACATTGTGAATTCCAACCGGTAGGAAAAAATGGTTGAGAAACACAAATTCACAAAGATCTTAGTTATCAGAATTATGAGTCAGATTATAAGAATTATGATCTACCATATTTCAAAAGATAAAAGATAAGCTTGACAATATCTTCAGGAAATAAAATCATAAAATGTGACGTAGCTAATTTGAAAATCAAATAGAACTTCTAGAACTGAGACACAGAGCAAAAAATGAGAAACTAGCGGATGGCTAGGCTTAGCAGAAGGCAAAACATAA